TACCAAATGTTGTGGTGGTAACGGGAAGTAACGGGGATACCTTTAACACGTAATAACGGGGGAGAGAGGCGGTGTTCATTGGCGTTATTAGGTGTTATTAGGCACAATAACGGGAGTGGGCGTTGCCCACTCCGAGTAGCCTAACAGATAGAGGAAAGCAAAGAAAATGAGGGAGAACACAAGCCAACAACGACGACTGGATGGTTTGAGAAAGATACGTATTTTAGGAAGGAATACAAGGGTATCTCTGATACCATGTACATAAGGTATTTTCCTATGAATATTATTTCTAATTAAATTCATATAAATACAACTTGGGCCTATGAATATATAAATAGTATTACAAATACAACTTGGGCCTATGACTATATACACTCATAATATAACTATGCACACCCATAACAAACGAGCTACACTAAATATATACGCCAAGATTAATTACCCGGGGTTAAATTTAAGGATTGAAACCAAAATCAAACCTTCTTAGAAAAATTATATTTGCAAGTTAGAAATTATTATTATTATTATTATTATTATTATTATTAAAAAATACAAACAACGTGGAATATTTTTGCAACTATCTTGTAAACTTGACTAGAAAATCTATTTTCGATAGTTTATTGCAATCTATTTAACTTAACAAAAAAGTACAAACCACATGGAATATTTTTACAACTTTGGTAACCTTAAACAAAAAATCTATTTTTGATAGTTTATTGCAATCTATTATCAATAAACCTTTATGGTGATTTTTTTTTTTTTTTAAACAAATGACAAACTATCAATACTTAAAACAACGCAAAGAATCTTCGAATATCTAAAAAAACAAACAATTAAACATCCTATCTAATAAATGAAAATATTTTTGCCACTTGTCATCTTCTCCTTCATTTTGACAAATGTCATTTTCTAAGATTTTTAAAATTATTATTTTTCACTTGTCATTTTTTGGGGATTTCAATTTTCTTAAAATAATTTTCCAAAAAATTCTAATAGGTTTATATATATATATTATATATATATATATATATATATATATATATATATATATATATATATATATATCATATATATAATAAGGTTATCATTCTATTAATTTGATAATAAATTCTCATAAATGCTCTAAATGATATGATTTCTTTCATAAATGCTCTAAAAGATCACATTTTTTATGGAAAAAACATTATTTTATAAAATATTTAATGTTTATATATTCATATTAAATTTTTGTTTTTAATAAACCCGTGTAATACACGGGTCTTACACCTTTATATATATATATATATATATATATATATATATATATATATATATATATATATATATATATATATATCTATATATCAAGGTTCTAAATAACGTAAGGCGTGACTTGGCGGAAATGTCAAGTCTCAAGCTTTTCCCAGCCTTGACGAGTCACGTCGTTTGTAAGACGTGACTTAAGGCGGCAATTTTGTATATAATTAATATTTTTATATGTATTTTTCAACTATTATTCATTTTATACACATATATGAGTTAAGGGCGACATTTTGTTAAGCTTGACGACATTTACAAGCATTGGTGTCATGACGAGCTTTTTAGAACCTTGATATATATATATATATATATATATATATATATATATATATATATATATATATATATATATATATATATATATAGAGAGAGAGAGAGAGAGAGAGATTCAGGTTCATTTGAGACCATGCTAATTTTGTGAGATCGTGAGACCAAATCTAAAAATAATTTTAAAATGCAAAATAAAAGGAAAAATCCGAAAATTCTTTTTTTAATTATTATTTTCTTCACTTTAATTACCTAAATAAATAAATAAACGAAATAAAAATTACCGTTTTTTTTTTTTTTTTTTGAAAAATACGTCAAATATTCTAATAGAATATTACACTGTAAATATTCTAATGTGAGTTTTAGAATGTTAGAATATTCTACTAGATTTGTCAGATATGTAAAATATTCTAATACTATAGTAGAATATGTAAAAAAAAGGTTTTTTTTATTTTATTTTTTTTTATCTTTTTTGGTATTTTTTTTAATTTTTTTTTTGGAAAATATAAATGCCGAAAATAATATTTGAAAAAAAAAATCGAAATTTTTTTAATTATTTTGCATTTTAAATTTTTTTTTTATCTACAAAATGAGTGGTTAGGATTGCGTCTACCGGTCTCACAAAATTAGATCGTCTCACATGAATCTAACCTTATATATATATATATATATATATATATATATATATATATACATACTAGATGTGTGCCCGCACAAAGCGGCGGCGATAAATAACTCTTTTGGTGAATAGTTTTCTTACGAGAAAATAATTATTATATTTTATTATTAGTTATTATGTAAAAAAAAGTACCACTTTTAAATAAAATATTTATGTTTAAACCTTATATTTATATTGAATTTTATACATTTAGTGTAAATTAATTAATACCGGTATCTAGTTTAAGAAATTTAAATTAATTAATATACATGAATTTAATATTTTAAAAGAATAAATTATAGAAATCGTCCCTATGGTTTGGTCAAATTTGCACGTTTGGTCCCTAATTTTTTTTTTGCACTCGGATCGTCCCTATGGTTTGATTTTGTTCCGTTTTTCGTCCATATGGTTTGGTCAAAACTGCAATTTTAGTCCCTAACTTTATGTATGTAAGGGACGAAAAACACAACAAAATCAAACCATAGGGACGACCCGAGAGCAAAAAAAAGAAGTTAGGGACCAAAAATGTAATTTTGACCAAACCATAGGGACGAAATCAAAAATTTACTCATTTTAAAATTATCATTTTTCTCCAAATTAAATTTCTTAATAACCTTCCTTAATTCAAGTCTTCAAAATTTTGGCAAGTATTAATGATATTTATGCATAACTGATTTGTACATAAAACTTTGTAACTTATATCTCTTAAAATTCAAGATATGACTAATATGTTTTATAATATAGTATAGGAAATAATATATATATATTATATAGATATATATATATATATATATATATATATATATATAATATATATATATATCTTAAAATTCAAGATATGACTAATATGTTTTATAATATAGTATAATATATATATATATATATATATATATATATATATATATATATATATATATATATATAGGGGTGAGATCGGTTGAAAACTCATAGTTTCCCGAAAACCTAAGAACTAAAGGTGGAGTGTTAGATCAAAATTAACTCATTAAAGGCGTGATCGTAATCTTACCGATCTCATGTAATGTTTATTTTTTTGTGTTATTGGAGAAAATTAACATAATAAATCAAATTTAGGATTTTTTTTTATCTAATTTTTGATTTTTTATTAAATAGAGATTTTTTAATTTTTTTTTTCAGAAAACATAAATTTTTTAAAAAAATTGAAAAAAAAAGTAATTTTTTAAAAAAACTGCAATTCTTTTAAAAAACCTGTTTTTTTATAAGAAAAACTGCAATTTTTTAAAAAAACTACTTTTTTTTTCAAAAAAAAAAACTACATTTTTATTTCAAAAAAACTGCAACTTTTTTAAAAAAAAACCTCCAATTTTTTTAAAAAAACCTAGAATATTAAAAAAAAAAAAAAAAAACCCTAGTTTTTTTAACAAAACAAAATCAACATTTTAGGTGTATATATGTATATTTTTTCAAATGCATATATGCATATTTCTTATATTATAATATTCTTAAGTAAATCATAAAAAATCTTATTTTTATTAATCACTCTATAAATATAATAGTACAAACATTTTATTCGATACAATATAAAATATAAAAAAAAATAAAAAAAGCTACAAAGATTCATAGTGTTATCATTTCTTCATATCAAGATTTCCATATTTTCTTCAATTTATCACTTTTTACATCTTCAAAATTTTCCACAAAAATTTTCAAATCTACAAGTAAATAAAAAAATGATTAATGCAAGAACATTCACAAAAATACATATGTATATATCATGTGATTTACATGTAATTTACATGTGAATCACTTGTGAATTACATGTGATTCATGTAAATTACATATGAATCACATGTAACTTATATGTGATTCACTTGTAATTTACATGTAATTCATATGTGAATCACTTGTGATGTACTTGTGAATTACATGTGATTCATATGTAAATTAAATATGAATCACATGTGATTCACTTGTGATTTACATGTGAATTAAATGTGATTTACATGTTAATCATATGTAATTCATATGTAAGTCACTTGCGCTTTAATTGTGAATTACATGTGATTAATATGTAAATTACATATGAATCACATGTAACTCATATGTGATTCACTTGTGATTTACATGTGAATTACATGTGATTTACATGTGAATCACATGTAATTCATATGTGAATCACATGTAATTCATATGTGAATCACTTGTGATTTACTTGTGAATTACATGTGATTCATATGTAAATTACATATGAATCACATGCAACTCATATGTGATTCACTTATGATTTACATGCGAATTACATGTGATTTACATGTGAATCACATGTAATTCATATGTGAATCACTTGTGAATTTTGCCATATTATGTGAACTTTCCCCAGTATAAAAGCTACCTGATCAATCTTAAATTTTGCAGATTCACATCGTTTTGGTTCATGGGTATTTTGAAATCCATCATCCCCATCAATCGTCTTGCAACTCTATCAGCCCACCCAACACATATCGCTTGCCCCAAAAGCTCCTCTTCATTCAACATCAGTTTGAATGCTCACAATTTTCATTATTTCTTAGTAATCCATATAAACCATAATTAATCTTAAAACCTTTAAGATAAGAAATCCAAAATAGCATATAATATAACTTACGGATCACAGATTCCACTTTTTTTATTCAGCTTTGCAACAGGACAATATGCACCCAAAGGGCATGCTTCAGTCACAAATTTTTCAATAAATTATAGGCATAAAAAACAATATTTTAGGCATAATTTAAAATTAGTTTTGCAGTAAGAAAAGAGGTCAAACATGTCCATCTGTTAGCTGCTTCATGGGCAACTTTAATCGCTTCCTCTAAAATCAATCATAAAATTTTCTAAATTTAGTAGAGATATGGATGCAAATCTTTAAAACAGAGAAAATAAATAAGCGAAAGGAATATAAGAAAAAGTTTGTAGTTAGTTATATGATTACTCATTGCTTCAAATGTTGCAGGATCATTGTCTGCATATTGTCCCATTTCTTCCTGAAATTTAATTTATTAACTCCTTTCACGTATGTAAATTTGACTAATGATTAAAAGATGATTTCTAATGAAATGTTACTTACTTTCAGATTGTTATACTTCTGTTCACTGGCTTTGAGCTCACTCAAAGCCTCTTCTCGTGCATCCTGTTAAGATACTTGAAATTAAAGATAATATTTAAAATGCCAAAAACAATTGTAGAATAAAAAAAGGCAAGTCACCAACTTACTGAATCGTCCCTGCCTTTTTTTAAAGACTCACATTGCTCCAAAAGCTCTACATGTCGCTTCTTATTGATTTCAAGCTCTGACTCAAGTTTCTTGGACACATTTCTTAGCTTTTATACATAACAAAAATAAATAAATAAATAATAACATGAATGAAGTTAGAAAATATGATTTTATGGTATAGACTATAGACCCAAAATCATTTATGCATAACTTGATCTTGAAATAAAAGTTTACCTAGTTTCCAGCATAACTAGGAAGACTCCAAAAGTATACCTAAAATTTTTTGAGATTAAATTGTGTTTATGAGCTCTTATTTTATTAGTATCACATTTCTTACAGAGGTTCCAATCTTGTCTTTTGAGACCAAGTCATCATCCACTAGTGTTTGGACAACATCTTTGACAGATTGGCTGATAACACCTTTTCTGAGGCCCAACTTTTCAAGTTCCTTGAGCTGAAATTTGTACACAAAATTAACATTAGTATTAAGCCAAACAAAGGATATACTTATGGTCTAACTTAATCATACAGAGAAAATTACTAATAAGCAATCTTGGTGCATACATTTTGCAGATAATAACAATAATTTATAGCAATCTATATAAAATATAAAGTGTATATGATGTTATATACTCAAAAGGTAAAAATCTTGGGAGTCGTAGAATATTTAAAGCATCTTCTCCCGCTTCTCCTCCAATGACAACCCTCTTTTCTTCAACTATGACAGCATGAAAATGACATGAGTTTGGAAATGATAAATACTAAATAGATATAATTAGCATTATCATCATAATTCTAAGATCCATAAAAGATTTACACTACAAACAACAGCTGAAAAACAAACCAGGGGAACTTTGTTGCTACTTATGTTCCCATATTCAAACAACTTGTTTCATCGTGACCTTGAGCTTTACCAAATTATACCATTTGATTCTATTATAACTTCAGTCTAAAGAGGCTACTGAAGACAAAAACTATGTTCGAGCTAGACAAACCATAGCAACAAAAACACATAATCATTCATTGACCTTTTCTCCTTCCGTGAATCCTTCATAAGTAATATCAGTGTTTCATCATGTTCATTTACACAAAAAGAGTTCAAATAAAACTAAACGAATTTGAGCATGGACAAACACAAAGCTAACAAGTGAATTTCTGCAAACTATTAATTGAGGCAAAATTAGGGCATGAAACGAACCAGTAGAATAGTTATTCTACTGATTCGATGTTAAATTAACACCGCACTTCCATAGATCAAACATTGAGGAAGCATCACTATCGATTTACGAGCCTATTACAACGATATATGATTCGAAAAATCTAAAGAACTTTATACGACTATGATGTGTGTTTATGTGGAAATCTCATAATAAATTTAAAAAAACAGATTAATTCCACACAGATTCATGATATACATCGGAAAACAAAATCAATATGCAATAACTATACAATCAATCTTGATTCAAAAGTTTCAGCTGTCAAACAAATGGATTATTGTGTGAATGAAATCTTCGCAACGAATACGACAGAGAAACAGATTAATTCTCCAATAGATTCACGATATACATCCAAAAACTAAATCAGCACGAAATTGTTATACATACCATCTAGAATTTCGATATTTCAGCTGCGGGTGTAAATGGATTAAAGTTGCCCATGAAGCAGCTAACAGATCGCACCTTCATCTTGTTTATAATCAACAATAATGAAGCATTGATCAGTGGTAGATTTCATATGAATTGATCATCATTGGCGATGAAACCTGGATCGATGGTGGATATTAATCTGGAGGCAGTAAGAAGTCGCTAAGGAAGAACGTGAATGAGAATTTGACACCATCTGGAAGTGAATCGAAGACAGGAGGAAGGAAAGAGAGAGATCTATGAGCGCTATGTTCTCTCTCAATCTCTCGTTGATGATTTCGCCGACGAAGGAAGCACCAAGGCACAGCGATGAAGACTTCTTGTGTGTGTGAGAGAAGGGGATAAAGAGAGAAAGATAGAATCGGTAAGTAATCAAGAGAGAATTTGATTTTCTTAAATTAGTTAAATTCATTATTATGAAATAATATAATTTATCCCTAATATACCCCCTGGTCAATTGTTTAAAATTCTAAAATACCATTAAAAGTGTTGATAATAACAAGTATGACATCTTTGATCTAAACCATTAAAAGTTTTAATCTAACGCCCCACCTTTAGTTCTCGGGTTCTCGGGAAACTATAGGTTCTCAAATGATCATTCCTATTATATATATATATATATATCTATATGAATAATAATATATATATATATATATATAATATATAGGCCTAGGTTATCTATTCAAAGTAATTATTGTGTTATTGTATTCATAACTGTGGGCAATCAATTTTACTTATTTTAAGAAAGTGATTAATTATATTATTGAATTAAAAAAATAGATTTAATAAAGGAAAATTGCATATTTTAAGGGATCATAGATTTTTTAATTTTAAAAAAAAATCAAATCCGATTTTAAAGAATTATAACTATTTTATTCGGACATTCTGACAGAAATGTTTATTTATTTAATTATTTACTCAAAATAAAAATATTCTTGAACCATAATTCTTGAACTTCTTGTAGAATAACAAATTCTTGAACAATCAATTGAAGAATAAAAACAAAAAATACATTATTTCTTATAGAATACGGTTAACAAATTCTTGGCCCACATTTATGAATACGATAACACATACTTAGTTTAAACAAATGAACCTAGCTAATATAATATATATATATATATATATATATATAATATATATAGAATAATATATAATATATATATATATATATATATATATATTATCTATATATATATATCTATGTATATACAAATCCAGGGCCGCTTCTGAGGATTTAAATATCCTCAAATGCCCCTGGACGAGTTAGAAAAAAGGGCCCTTATCGCTATTATATATATATATATATATAATATATATATATATATATATATATAATATCTATATATATCTAACATAATAATAAAAAATGTCCCCCAAAAATTGGGCCCTGTGCAGCTGCCCATTTTGTCCCTCCTTCTGCGCCCGTGGTTATATATATAATATATATAGATATATATATATATATATATATATATAATATATATATATATATATATACAACACTGAGAAGGCCCAGGGGTACCATATAGTTATTAATCAAAATACAGTCATAGGATTATTTACAATAAACATGTAATTTAATTTGAAACGATAATATATACCGAGTCAATGACAAACAGCCCTAAAACGCCAAACTTTGTCTAAAAGACGGGCAACATTACGACTAGTGGTTTAATCATTTCAAATTAACTTACTTGTTATCAACCTAGACTTTTGTATTTCAAATAACCATATGATACCGAAGGTTTCTACAAAATTAGTAAAGCCATAATTTCATGAGATTACTTAACACTTAAAAGGATTTAGCCTATCATTAGGCTAGTACAAACAATAATAAAGTATAAGTAATGAAAACTTACAAGAGTGAGGGGAAACACAATCAACGCAAGATGGATGCACCAGTAATACTTTAAAACTTATTTTATTGCTTCAGATAATTTTTACAAGAGAGAGAGAATAAGCAAAGGTTAGGAAGAACTCTTCCAAGATACATAATATGTATACATAAGAGCCTAAATATAGGCCCGGACTTCAAACAAAGATTAAAAACTATAAAATGTTACAGAATAATAATTGAGTGCACTATCGAGTGCATTGTGACAACTGGTTGATTTGATGTCAAGATGCCTCAATTATTGTTGTTTTATAAAAGCAAATAACAGGTGTAGACATTTCCACCGTAAACTCATTAAGTTTTTGTCTTCTTCTTTTGTAGCTTTTCCAATATTATATCTTCAATAGTGGCAAAAGCATCTTCGACAGTAAATTCGTCCATAATATCATTGTTATCATCAATCGGCTGAGATTCGCCTGCAAGACAATTATCATCATTGCATGTAGATAACATGGAGCTATCTGACGATTGTTTATTGATTTTTTGAAGCAGGTCTTCTTTCATTTGACAGAAATAGGTCTTGATAATTTCATCTTTTGATGGCGAGGAATTTCCCTGTGCTTTGATGGAGTTTAATGCTTTTTCATAAGGATTAGAACTGTTGGATTGTTCCTTATGGGATAAAAATTCTTTTTGGGATTTGTATTTCAAAATTGCTTGATTGATATTATCAATCGTTTGTTTAGAATTCATCTCATTTGAGATCGGATCTTTCTGCAGCATTTTTGCCCAAAATTTTGTAAGGTATGACCTTTGTAAAGATGGGAACTTATTAGGACTATAATCCACTTCTGGGATCCATTTCCAGATCCAAGGAATTGAGAATTCTATGAAAAAATGTAGAGTAGGTATTACTTCCCTTCCCCCATTGGAATGTTCAAGAGCCTCCTTGTATTTAGGAGCTACATATAAACCATTCAACATATAAAGATTTGAATGGTTCAGGTAGAATTTGAACACTTGGACCATATGATGTCCACCATTGTGTAAACCAATTTGGCAACTTTTGTTTATAAACTTGGTCACAGATTTTGAAAAACCAAGAATGTTTCTTTTTTGGATTTTCATAAAGAAAAGCTTTATAAAAGCTATCGATATAATCCCAGAAATTGTATTTTATTAAGATTTTTTGTTCAGGGTGGAGAAATTCTCTTTCCCTGAGGGTGCTTAAACCCCCATTCCTCTGCAGATATAATCCTTTTGAATATTACTTTGCTAAAGTTATAAACTTTTTTGTCTCCTGAAGAGGAGAAATGTGAAATTTCACATGTACCTGTGGAAATTAGTATATTCTCATAATAATTTCGTGATTTATAAGAACATGCTGCATATGATGCAGTATCCAAATATCTGGAAAATAAATTCCATGGATCATCATTATCCTTAAAATATAACATGATATCCTTCTCTTCCAAAAGAATTATTAAATCTTTATGGGGAGTTAAAATATATTCTGAGGAATCATCATTATCTTCCTCCGAAACTATTTTTGAGAAAGAAGGATTATTATCCTTTTGTTGTTTCAAGAATTGTTGGAAAGCCGAGTATAGTGGATCTCCAGGTTTCGGCATATTAGATGATGATGGTTGGGAGACAATATTTTCAGCCATTAGCAAATTTTTCCCATGTTGAATAAGAGGATATGATCCTCTTCCTCTGCCACCTCTATTAGGGTAGCCACCTCTAATTCAAAAGTAATATAAGTTTATTCTCCAGAAACCTAAGACGAGCTCTTAGGCCTATTAGTCTGAATCTTAATAAATTAATTCGTTTAGTATGGCGAATACTATCAAGGATATTTGTGTCTGTTGTTGGCATATTATCCAATAAGTTGGTTATTTGAACTTCAGTCTCTTTAATTGAGTTTCTTGTATTAGAAACATCATTAGATAATTGTCTTAAATGCATATTACTCATTTAAAAATTCTCTAGTTAGAAAATCAGGAAGACTATTATCTTCACCTTTTCTATATATTATAGTAAAATCAAATGGTGCTAAATGAGCTTGCCATCTGGCAAACATTTGTTTAGACACATCATGCTTAAAATCTTTATTAAACATAAATTTTGCTGCTTGACAATCAGTAATTACAGTAAATTGTTGATTGTAAAGATCATCTTGAAATTTTAAAACACATTTTACTATTGCCAGGATTTCTTTGGCAGTAGTTGCATAATTCTTTTGAGAATCAGACAATTTTCCTGAATGAAATCTAACTAAATATACTTCTTGTTTATTACTTGGATTAATTTGTTTTAAGACCCCTCCATAACCTATATCGGAGGCATCAGTTTCGACAATTTTTCCCAATTTGGATTTGCTAAAGACAAACAAGGTAACGATTTTACCTTTTCTTTTATTCTTTGGACTGCTTGAGTATGAAGAT